AAATACCTCTACCACAATGTAATGGCATTAATTGCATATTTTTCTCTTGGGAATTTTTATTAATCAGTGTTTACAGTATGTTTTCTTTTGATTACTTGACAGTATTTCATTTTATTGTGTGTTGTTTGTTTTATAAAAAGGTAATTATTTTGGACCACCAAATAAAACTAAATAAACTGTGCATTATTTCATGTAGTTCAGTTGTCCATACATTTCAGTCAGAGGAAAAAGAACTGACAGGCTAAGAAGTGACAAATGTGCCCACAGCAGGGAGGCTGGAACTAGATGATTTTTAAGGTCCCTTCCAACCCGGGCCATTCTATGATTCTGATGCAAGAAGTGTTAAGTGCATAAAGTCCAGCAGAGGGAGCAGGAGACTGACTAAAGGTGTAATTTTGAAGGTCTCAAATTCAGAGTCTAATCAATAGAATTTTCTACATTATACTTTATATGATAGCTCCAGTTTCTTTTCCTTCTGCCTTAAAATCCAGTGCTTCTGACCCTCATTATAGATACATTATAGATATATTATAGATAAATCTAGGAGGATTTATGTAGCTCTTTATGCTTTCATGTAATCAGCTTCAGGACAAGCAGCAACTCCATAGCACAGAGACAAGCATGAAGTGTTGTGTTGGTGAAGAAACAATATGGGTCTGACTTGGGAAATACCAGGCATTTTTGCAATTAGAACTAATGCATCTTTCTTTGGAAAACTGTATTTCCTACAGGACACAGGGAGGCACTTTTGGTGCTCTGCAATTCCTAATTCACAGGCCAGTAAGCAGCTCTGCCTTTGCCTTTTCTTACTGTGCTTGCCTCTCTAAAATGAGTCTTCCAGTAGTTCCTTTTGATCCAGGTTTGGGGAACATGTGCTCAATCTGACTCAAGTAAGGACATTCATTCATCAACTGGACAGATCACTGAGCACTGGCAAACTTGTTTCCTACTTTAATATACATCTATAATAAACATAGTTCTTTGCAAGTCGCTTCCATCTACTTTTTTTCCTCTTTGAACCAGTAGTATTTTTGCTTGCTCCTGACAATTTTGTTTGACTTTTACTATGCACTTTTACAATTTTTCTGGAGTTAGTTTTGCTCTATGTATTTCATACTAGTTAAAAAAATACTGTCTGATAGGAAACCCCAAAGTGGTTTGCCATTGATTTCAATGAGGCGGGATTCCAAGTAGTGTCCTTTTGTACCCTGCATCGAGGCAGTCCAAGAGAAGAGCTCCTGGAGCGAAGAACTCCTCCACTTAAGCAAGGGTGGCAGAACACAGTCCTTTGTATAGCTAGCTGTACTGGTGCTATAACAACACAGTTGCTTTTAAGACAGATTCACCACTGCTTTTTGTAATTTCTGTCCTCTGCTTCTATCTAAAAAAACCACGTTTAGATTTGAAGAGCTTTCTTTGTTGGTATGCTTTTATTTTTGACATGGGTACAATACAGTGGACACACTCTGCTGTACAAATACACTTACATGTTGGTGTACTTCAACAAAACACAGAACATAATGAGGCTTGTAAGGGAAACACACACAAACACTTTGCTTTGATTAGTGGCATTGTATTATTTTCCAGAGAAGACACACATTAATAGAAAGCCATTGAAAAATAAAAATGAAACACAGTGTGTATCTGTTGTCTATTTAAACCCAAGATCTGATCTCATAAGGTTCACATTACAAGCAGTAATTTAGGCAACACAGTTTGGATAAAATTTCCTGAAATATGTATTTTAGTATATATTTTTTTTTAATTTCAAATCTTGCCCCACAGAAAAAGACATTTTGTCAATGATAAGACTAGTGGAGAGGTGAAACTGAGAATAGAAAGTTCTTGAATAGTAAACCTCTAAGCCAAAATATTTTTCCTGGAAAAATGCAGAGTGAGGTAGTTAATATTACACATGGACACAGACACATTTGCACACACTCACACATTCGAATGACATTAGCTGCATAAACAGGTTAGTGTATTCCAGTCTGTTTCCAAAGCCTACTTTTTACAATACTCTCTCTCTGTCTTGATATGCAAAATGCTTGTCTTTGTAGAACCATGGAGTACATAAATAAATGCTCAAAGCATCTTTGGAATTTGAATAAATTTCTCCCTGCTTGCTACCACTTTCTTATTAATAGCTTTCCACATATGTTGCTTTTTGTTAGGTGATAATCCGATTGTAACTTGGTTTTGACTTCAGCTGCTGTGAGGAGGAACAAAATTTCTCATGCCTCCACCAGCATCTTGAAATATAAGGCCTAAACTTGAGACCTCATATTTCAAAATGTCATTGAGATTGTTCCATTTGTCTGCAGCATATGAAATCTAGTTAGTGTACCACAACAATACAAAACAACTTAATGTAGAACAGTATTAAGCACAGTACACATGGGTCATTAGGTCCACTTGTATCACAAAAGAATTTTGACATTCTGTTTCAGAGACGGGAGGTATTTGGCCACGCTATAGTAGTCTGGGCACTGTACGTAGAATCTAGTTCATCTGGTAATATGCGTGTCTTATAAAGTTATAGGCAGTTTTAGCATAAAACAAATGCTCACAGGATGGATTTTATTACATCATATTTGACTTTTTAAGTTGTGAAGTGATATCAGTCTTTCAAAAACCCACTGTATTCTGTACGGAATACATGGAGATCTATTTCAGAAATAACACTGATGAGGTTCAGTGCATGAGGTTCATGCTGAGCAAATTACAGCATGAACACAGGGCTTCTCTGTAATTTCCCTTGCATGGCCATTGAGAACACAGTATGAAGTTAGTGGGCAAGATGGAGGAGGTCAGTGTATTTGTCTGAAAGTACTGTAGAAAGTTAGCTCATTTGCTATGACATTTCAAATGCTTTTGTTAATGTTTAGGCTTTCTGTATAGTCATAGAACCTCTTTTAATGGGCTATAAATACGGTGATGCTTAGCATTTCTATGATGCTCTTAGTATTCAAAGCACTTTCCACATAAAACACCTTTGCTAAGTTTATCCTTTCCAGATGGATGTTTGTAACTCCTCATTTGGTCAGGGAATTGTTTGACTGCATCTGAGAGTAGAATTTAACTCAACTAATTATCATGTTGCCTTTATATGGAAAGTACTCTTCCTGCTTTACAGCTGAAAGAAAAGGGCAGCATAAGTAGGAAGAGTTCTCCATTGCCACAGGGTGAACTAAAGGGTATTGGGAGCAAAACACATGACAAAACAATTATGCTTAGTCCTATAAACAAACCACAGATCTACTATCTCTTGTATACTTATAAGAAATAGTTGTCAAAATAAGGAGTGTATTTTATAATACAACTGTCCTGGTCTTTTCCTGGCTGCAGCTATGTCTCCATTAGTGTTAAGAAGAAAAAGAAAGGGAAAAAAAACAAAAACAGAAACAAAAAACCAAACAAAACATCAGGAAAGTTTAAAATGTCACTGTTTTAAAGAAAATGAAAGGATTATGTTGCTAAATTGTTATCATTTTTTATCGAGAAAGTAAGAAAGAAGACAGGATCTGCCCTCTGTAGACATTATTGTTGCTGGTAAAGTTATTAATTCCATGTTGATTTCTTTCACTGATCACTAACAAAGAAAGTTAACTACTGAACAACGCGATTAACTTAGCACATTCTAGAAGCCCTGCTTCTGGTTCAGGTCCTCACTGCACAGCTTCAGCAGAGCATCACAAGTTACAGACTTCCTCTGCAGGACAGTGTCCTTTATGTTCACCTGGAGGACTTGGTTCAGAACACTTTTACACTGCTACATGATAAACAGCTTCTGCCTTATCTGTGCATCCAGGTCAGGAACAAAACCCACTGCTCAGGCTGTGGGTGGATTCATTGTGCAATATCATCATCTTAATGATGGAGATATTGCAGTGCAGTTGAAGGTATTAATTCCCATTTTTTGCATATGACAAAGATGAAAAAAAGACTTGCTCTTTCCCAGAGATCTGTGATTTCCCAGCTCAACAAACATGCTTTAGTTCAGTAAAGTATAGCCCCAAAGGAGATGACTAGGGAAGAACAGTGCTTGCCCTTGTAACTAGCTACAAACTAGACATACTGTCTTACATTTCCAAGGCAGTTGCAGCACGTTGTTCTCTCAGCCTGTGTTTTCATAGACTGCACGTCATTCGTAAAAGGAGCTGCAATTTTCTGTGTATTTGTAAAACCCCTAGCATGACTGGGCCTAGTTTGGCTATTGTTTTGAAGACCTAATGTGTAAATTATTAAATCTCACTGCTCATTGGAAGCTCTTTTTCTTCTCCATGTTGTATTATACAAGACCTGAACAAAGATCTCTCTTGTCAATGCAGCTGAATAGTATAAAAATTGCATACATATTAAAGCTAAAATAAACAAAATAAAAATAATTAGGTTACAAATAAGAAACTATAATATTTGACAAAAACAAGTGGTGACTGTAAGTGGCACCATTAACACATATCTTATAGTATGGCATTACACAGACTTAATTCTGAGAGTATCAAGTAAAAGGCAGAGCCAGGGTCATATGCCCCTTCTTACCTAGCATTTATCTCCTGAAATTTGTGTGTGTGACAGAGGAAGGAAGGAGAGAATGGTTTGTGGCATTACAATTGCACACAGCTACATGATCCAGACAGATGATTTTGGAAGACTGGTAGTGATATGTAATACAGTGGTACACATTAGGCAGTATAGCTGTCTATACAGTAGTTCTTTCTCCTGCCTCCCACCCCCAGTATCAGGTACTCGTGAAGAGTGACTGAGAGACAATTATTGCAGTAATGCACACTGTACAGGTTTACTTTCAGCAGAAAGGTTTGGTTTTGTCACACGGCTGTGTCTTGGCACTGCTGCATGTTGAGCTCCTGTCTTCCACATCTGACAGGTACCTTCTCTTCTTGAACGTCTCTGTGGTGCTTCTGTGCTACACTGTGGTAGGTAGTGTTTCATTCATCCTCTGATGCCACTGGATTATTTTCAAAAATCTGTGTTCTAACACCAGGTCAGGAAACGAACAACTTGTATGTGACAGGTTGTTTTCTGCACACCGTACCTTGGTCTGTCCTCCTCAATTCCTGGGCCAACTGGCACAAGTGTAATCCATATGAAAGTATAACTGATGTGATATTTTCCTGATGGTCAGAATCTGGAATACCAAAAGTAGTATGTGCTGACCATCAGTTGGACAGTACAGTAGGAAGGAATGATGTCCTGTAGCTACCGTTTTTTCTCTGCAAGAGCTTCTTAAAATGGCAGGCATCATTCTTGTCCATTTGGCTTTTGTCCAGTACACTGCAGCCTTCTGCTTCAGCTCGCTTTTGGTTTTATCACCCATTCTGCCTGAGGATTTGCACGGTAGACATCTAACATGTACGCATCTGGATCCAAGCAGTGCTGACCTGAAACAGAAATTAAAACCCATGAATTATAGGATGTTTTGAGCACATCGGGACAGAGCTTCGTTAAATGTCTTCGAATGTTTCTCTGACTTGCACATAGCAAGCCTAGTTTGGTGTGTCCAGCTAACATCTTGCCAGGACACACAGAGGGCCTGTGATAAATTTGCCAGTGATCTTATTCTGTGGGAATCATGAATGCACTTTCACTTCCAGGCAAGATGACCTGCATTACATCGAGTTATGGACATTTAGTTAAATGGTGAACAAATATGTTTTTTTAAGAAGCATTAACAACACTCTTACTGTAAGTGCTACATTATGAGGCTTTTTATTTCTTTGAATTTACTAGGCTGGAATTACGACTCTCTGACTTTGTTGCTACACTATTTTTAAATGCTGAAAAGGTAGCTCTGTAAACAATGTGTTCCCATCTAGATGGGATCTTGCAAAGAAATACAGGGATTATATCAAGGTTTTAGATAGTTGCCATTTGGTTGGTTAAAATAAAAAAATAAATAAAAAAAATCTTCCTAAGGCTGTTTCAGGGTTTCATTAGGTGGTGATTGGGAAGTCCCTGCTGCCTTTGCCAGAATGAGGCATTTGGTGCCTCTTAATTGAGTAATAAGGCAATAAATTCTAGAGTTAAATTGATTTGTTGAACTATATTACATTTATGTGGGGTGATGAAGTCATTTAACTGGTGAAGTTACATTGCTGTGAGACAAAGGATTATGGTAAAATTTTTGTACAGTTACTTATAAGGTCACTGGGGTCTTAATGATTTTATTCAAGTGAAAGCAATATAAATGAATTAATGCCTAATCAGCTGACTAAGGTACCCTGAAGTATCTAGACTATAAAATAATTTTAAATGAAGATGCAAATTAAACATCCTGATTTTTTGAAAGAGCATGGTGGGAATATTTGGGATTGTTTCATAAGGCTTTTAGGATCTTCTTCTTTTTTAGCATCAGTTGGTCATCCTGTTAAGCCAGGCAAAAAAAAGTCACTAATCCAATTTAGCTTTGTGTGTCGTCAGTAATAAAGACTGCTTCTTGTTTGCTGCTGAACTAAGTCTGTGATATTTGGTAATAACTTTACAAAAACTCTTCTGGAGTGAATCAAGAAGAAATAAGGAATAATCTAATCAGATAGTTGACAACAGACTTGAACAGAACATCCAGAATTTTGGTACGAATAGAGAAAGAAGAGAGCCAGGATTGTGCAATATCAAATTTTGACCTTCAGGCCAGAAACTTGTGGGGCAAGTCACTGTTGTTATTACAAGAAGTGGGACTGCATGGAACATAGAAGAAGACAAAAGCCCTACTGCAAAGAATTTGCTATCTAAATAAAGCACATGGATTACTATAAGTATAGAACACCCATAGGTACAGGGAGGTGAATTCTCAATTCTGTGTTTTTTATTAGAGGGAGGTTAACACTTCAGTACACTGAGGAAGAAATAGGTCTTGGGAAAAGGCTTGACAACAAGGTGGAATGTGCTTGCAAGAGGAAGACTAAGGATCTCTTAACCACGAAAAAATGATGAGTTATGAGAGAGGTAAGACTGTAAGGGGTGCTCCTGTGGGGTGCCCCTCTAGTCACGCTGGAGTTGTAGTAAATCATGGCATTTGTTTTAGCAGCTTTTGGGTCAGGCTCCTTTCCTCCAAATGCACTGGAGGGTAGGAGTGACCCAGCTGTGTCAAAACAGTGCTGCCCCTGAGGTGTTTTAGGAGGTTAAGGACATTCAGAATTAAATCTTCAAAAATGAGACCTACCTATATTTCCTCCAATTTCATGTAAACTTTGGATCTGGCCTCTCATATTCTGTGATGATCCACGGCTAGGATGGAAAAACAAACTTTCAGTGTGTATTTCTGTTATAACCACTGCCTTATCACCCACCATCTATGGTAAGCAGAAGTGTGATATTTTTTCCCCTGTGAACTGCCTTATCAAAAGCAGGAACTTCTACCAAATGGACCACTACAGAATACTGAATCTGCTACAGAGGTAGATTACTGCATCACAGTTAACTAAACCTTCTATATTATTTATTTTATATTATATTTATTCAAAGAGCAAAATTATGTGGTAACATGGGAAGACTACAGAAAAGACTTCCAGATACAATTTACCATTTCCCATAACTGTTAATAATTATTACCTTACAGAAATAAAAGCATTAAAGATTTATGGACAGGTGTAAGACAATTCTTTTGGGTTCTCTATGCAGCAAGTCTATAAAATATATGTTTTATGTACATTTTTAGTAGTGATGTAACAGAGGGCAGATTGATTCTGTATAGGAACCAATTATTAATTAAAATAAAAAGAATAAAATCAGAGGTTAAAATTTCTTTGACCAACATAACCATAAATTAGCAATTTTAAATTAGAAAAAGAGGTTTTGTAACACAATGAATCTTTGAAAAGGGAACAATCCATTTATAGTTCTGACATTGTCGTTCAGGAAAAACAAAATGTTCTGCTTTACCCACCTGTTTTCACAGTGGAATCGAGCCAGGATGTCTTTGGCTTTTGTTTGACTGTTGAGCTGAATTGCCATAGAGACTTTTGAATGCAGTGGAGCATAAACTCTTATCACCCCCTCGGGTATGTCAGACTGCAGGTATGGGGGAAAAGTGACAGCTCCCTAAAATCGATATTCAATAGAGTAAGTCTAAGGCAAATATTACTCTAGCTCCATTCAGAAGCAGTTCTGCAACTCTTTTGAGGTTGCTTGCAAAAATCAGTGTCCTGCACTCACTTGATTATTCAAAAGACATATTTACAGTCACACAAATGCAAATTTGTAGATGTAGTATAGCGAGATGCAACACAAAGGCCCAAACTCCTTGGTAAGTATCACATAAATGCATACAGAGTAAAGCCTTTGAATTTTAAGTTATTTCTGTTAACATTGTTCGGTGAGCCAACAGCTTACGTAAAAACATATAAAAATTATTAGAAGTATCTGTTCTTCCTTTTAAAGATGAAATTCTCCTGAGGCATAAAAATCCAGTTCTCTGTTTCCGCTTCCTATAGCTTCAACTTGATTGAAATGTGTGTACAGTGAAATATCAAAGTACCATATGGTTTCTGTTAATTTGAAATTTGACCTTGTATAGGGTTCAAACAATCATCTATGATGCTTATGCGCTCTTCCATGATTAATGGTGGGTAAATCAATTAGCAAGGTTTGCATTCCAGTTCTAATCCAGTTAATACCATGCTGAGCAGAACACAATAGTCTCTCCAGTCTCTGTCTCTGTGTAATTTAGAACATCTGAGACCTGGGGATTGTATTAAGTGCTCTCAAAATTCAACTCAGTTATCCAAACAGAGTTTGCCTCCAATTTACTCTTCATATTTCAGCTACCTGCCACAGCTACCCTCGTTTTTATTAGATGTAAAGCCAATTACTACAATCAATGGACTTGTCTTCCTGAAAGTGCAATGACCGCAGTAATTGACTCTCCTCAGAGAGAGAGCCTTTCTGTGTTTGTTCCAGGCTGAATACAACTTTGCAACACAGTAGTCTACATCACCAATTTAAACAAACATCTCTGTCTCCATTTGCAGCACTAGTGTGTCTCCTACACACAATATATATTGGTCAGTGCTGGCAAATAAATTCTCCAGAAAGTTGAATTAGCATGGATTCACAATTCATACATTACATTTATTTTTCTACTTTTTTCCCTGTACATTCCCTTCTGCATTTTCTCTGTTGTCTGCACTAGGCAGCTCATTCTCTATTTCTTATAATCTCTTAATATCACTCCTTCCTTATGTGTCTTTTCTTTTTTCTTCAAGACTGTTCTTCAGCAACTGTAGAGTCCTTGACCATTTCTTTAATTACTTCTCTTACAATTCACCAGTTTTTATTCTTTTAAACGTCCATGGAGGACCCTAAAGACTTTTTCTCCAGGTTATTAATGGTAGTTACTACATAGAAATACTATATTTAAGCTGCTATAGGGACTGTATATGTTGTACATGTAGACACAACATTCTTTGTTGCTCAAATTATATGTTGAACCTAATATGTAAGTAACTTTATTTTAGTTGTCTATCAAAGCAGCATACCTCAAGTAACTTCCTAATCTCCGTATCTAGGCAGTGGAGAAAAGTTGGTGGCTTTAAGATCTTCAAAGAAAGATTTTTCTATCAGATTTTCCTAAGTTGGAACTGCACCTGGAACCCTGGAAATCCTCAAAAGTACTGACCTCTCTCCTCTGACTATACAGGGAATAACAACACGAACTACTTCACTGGGCGCTTAACATTTAGACCCAATTTAGGTGTCTATGGCAGGCAAACTGGATTTGCTTTCCACCTAGGAAGTTAATGCAAAGCTCTAAAACTAAACCTTGCAAGGAGACTATCAAGTGGCCTGGAGCAGGGCATGCATAAATTCAATTAATCCTAATACAGACTATTCTACTACTCAGCTACAGATCCATGCACTTGTTGAACATCTACAGATCACTACTGCCAAGGACAGTCCCCATATAACCATTTTCTTATGAAACAGGTTAAAAACCAGCATGCATTTGTAAACAGCTTACAGCTTGGGCTGCTGGAAATCATTCTGCCTTCCTCACCTCTTCTCATCAATTCCCAAAGCTTTGTCTTATCAGGATGTTGGACTGAGAAGCACATCTTTCAAGATAGCTCCCTAATCAGCTAATTCTATATGGCAAAATTTCCTCCCTGCCCCCAGTAGTTTTCATGAGATAAAGGAGGGAGGCTCATTAAAGCTGCCTTTGAAAACTATCTTTTTATCACACCTCTGGTCTTTCAGGTCTCTCCCGTTCCATGGTCTTTCTCCTCAGAAGTTTTCTCACTCCTTTGTCAAACATCAGCTGTCTCTTGCTGTTGTTCATCGCTGCCTCATTCATTTTTCTCACTTGGGAAATCAGGAAAGATGGGACCTAAAGGGAGGAAACCAGATCTAAGAATAGTCATTTTCCCCCCAGCATTGCTGTTGGGTCTTTAGAAATGCACCAAATTTTAGGCAGCAGAAATTCTATTTATTCCTAGAAGATACATGCAAATTGTAGCTCTCTCTAGCAGCCTACAGTTATTCCTTCGGTGACACTGTAGATCTTCATGCCATATGAAACTCTTAGTGATGTTTGAAGTTGCAGGAACTTCATTAGGAGGTAGTCTTTGCAATCCTCATCATACCCTCCTTTTTGGGGAAACAAACTGAGACTGCCAAAATCTTCATGCTAACCTTCAGCAGCCCAACAAGTAGTACACACTTTTGGTCTCATATTGCTATGGGCTAGACTCTAAACAGACATTTAATCTCACTCAAATTTAGACATATCACCTAGACATCTAGATTAAATCACTCTCTTATGCATTATTCTGTACAAACAATGGTGTGGGACAGGTCAACTCGTGCTAAAATAGATGACTCAGGTAAGTGAGGTAACTCAATCCACAGATATCCGTCACCCTATCTCATTTTGGATGTAGAAGACTTCAGCCAGTTTCCCAAGAAGAGCCAACTGTTTCTTCTTGGAAGGTCAGTTTACCCTGATTTCTGCAGAGCTCCTGCATATAGCAAAATACTGGCCTGTACTGGAGCCCTAAAGAGGGAACCAACATTACTCACTGTCCACAGAATGTCCTGGTACCGAATTAACAGCCGCACGATGTGTGCTGTGGTGGCAGCTGCTTGCATTTCTTGTTGGTTTGCACGTTTCCCTTTGTAGATGAAGAGGTTTGGTGCAACAATCATAGAAACATTCCACAAATTCATCTTGTTTTTCCCTTCATTAGCAACCACCTTCTTCAGGAACTGAAGAAAGGCCTGGAAAAAACCAACACTTGTTGAGTCTCATGAAATAATTTGCTTCTGAAATGCAACAATTGCACAACATGTCAGGCTCAAAAGCTGATATAATTGCACTTAAAGGTGAAATTTAGGGGTTTTTTGCATTTTAATTTGGATTACTCTGTTTGGTAGAACCACCTGTGTCAATCACAGAGGAACAGTTAATGCTATCAAAATACACATTAATAAATTATCTATCACTTAGAGCATAATCCCAAATTTGCAAGTTAAGTACAGTGTCTACGCTAAGGTACTGAATACTACAGTGGAGGAAAGATGTACAGGTATTGCAAGGGAACAGTTACTTTCTTCATAGATTTCCAAGTGTCCGTTTTGATGTATGTAACCAATGCTTTTTATATAACCATCACCAGGGTGATCAGTCTTTCTTCAAATGTGCACCAGTCCCAAATGTGATTTGAAAAATTTCTGCCAGCAACCCCCAAACTTTTATTTTGGGATGATGAAAACAAGAAGAGCTCTGTTGTTATTCACTGATGTTACTTCTGCACATGCATGGCAGAGTCAAAGAAAACTCATTTCCCTTTTGGGTAGTTTGTTCAGAATTTTCTTTGAGTGACTGAAAAGGATGAATTGCAGCTGTGGTTAGAGTTGAGGTCTACCAATGAGTCCTTTTGCAATACTGTTATGGTTTCAGCTGGGATAGAGTTAATTTTCTTCCTAGTATCTGGTACAGCACTGTGTTTTGGATTTAGGATAAGAATAATGTTGATAACACACTGATGTTTTAGTTGCTTCTAAGTAGTGTTTACACTTTGTCAGTGTAATCTTTAGTTTCTCAGGCTGCCTGGCCAGTGAGGAGCCTGGGGATGCACAAGAACTTGGTAGGGGACACAGCCAGGAGAGCTGATTTCCACTGACCAAAGGGATATTCCATACCATATGGCGTCATGCTCAGTGTATAAATGTGGGAATACTGATCTGGGACTGCTGTTCAGGGGCTGGCTGGGCATCAGTTACAAACAGTTGTGATCAGTGGTGAACAACTGCATTGTACATCACTTGTTTTGTATATTCTAATTATTTTATCGTTATTATTTCCCCTTTCTTTTCTGCCCTATTAAACCGTTTTTATCTCAATCCATGAATTTTTTTTTTTCAAATTTTCTAATCCATCCCACTGGGCAGGGGGAGAAGTGAAGGAACAGCTGTGTGGTGCTGTGCTGGTTGTGGCTGGGGTAGAGTTCATTTTCTTCGCAGTGGCCAGTACTGGGGCTATGTTTTAGATTTGTGCAGAACACAGTGCTGATAATATAGAGATGTTTTTGTTATTGCTGAGCAGTGCTTACACAGAGCCAAGGCCTTTCCTGCTTTTTTTGTACTGTCATGTTGGTGAGGAGGTTGCAGCTACATGAGAAGTTGAGAGGAGACAAAGTCAGGACAGGTGACTACAATTGACCAAAGGGATGTTCCATACCATATGACATCATGTTTAGTATATAAAGCTGGGGGGGGGGAGAAGAAGGAGGGACGGGACTTTTGAAATGATGGCATTTGTCTTTCCAAGTAACCGTTGTGCGCGATGGGGCCCTGCTCTCACGGAGATGGCTGAACACCTGCTTGCCCATCGGAAGCAGTGAATTCATTGTTTTGCTTTCTTTGTGTGTGTGGCTTTTGCTTTTCCTATGAAACTGTCTTTATTTCAACCCATGAGTTTTCTAGCTTTTACCCTTCCGATTCTCTCCCTGATCCCACTGGTGGGGGCATGAAAGAGCAGCTCTATGATGCTTGGTTGATGGCTGGGGTTAAACCACAACAGGTGTTTAGCTGTCTCCTGTGTTAAACCACAAAACCCATACCATTCAAACCACTGCCTTTGTACACCTGACATTGCAATTAAAACGTTTTTACAAACCCAAGAATTACAAAATAGAAACTGTGTTGGAAATATTTCTAAAATCTCATTATAGATAGCAAGTAGAGATGCATAGTGAGTTTTGCCATCACTTCTATTTTTGTAAAAAATAACCTAGTAATAATTAAGACTACTCTTCTAGCATATGTTTTCCATATGCAGCTCTATACCAAAGTGAACTTCAGTAGCAGAAAAAAATTCTTTACAGAGCACTACTAGGAGACCTCCAGATGCTTTAAAGAGGGTTGTTCTTGTCCATCATTACTGTATTTAAAACTACAGGTAAAGAAGGCACCTGAACTCGTAAAGTTATATGTAAACTGACTAGTGGGAGACTTTCAAAGGTGGGGGACCTGCATGGTCCTGATAAGCAGAGGACCTGATGAAATGTCTGGGGGCTCCCAGGCAGCTTGTTCCCTTAGGTTTCCTTTATGTAGAAAGAAGCCTGAAGATGCAACCAGTGTCTCCTAGGGTCAGGACATAGCTGCAGTCAGATTTGGGAGCTCCCAAACACCCAAGATGCTTGAAGCCACTGTGTCTGTATCAGGAAGTAGTACAGCGGGGTGGGCATGGGTTTGTAAGGCCAGCCAACTGAGGACGAGATCCTGACATCTGTGCTACAGATACACATTTTTACTTTGGACTATTTCCAGTCTGGTCCAGTGCTCCAGAAGCCCTTCAATCCTGGGAATGCACTAGGCAAGTTCCTTGAGGGCAGCTTCTCATTTAAATTCATCCTGGAGAATTTCTTTTATACAGAAAACCCAGAAACTGGACTTTTTTTCTCCAAACTATGTGAACTATGTGAGAAACACGCTTATTTGAAATGGGTGCCCCAGAATAAACAATGCCTGAGACCCAGCAGTTAGGTACCTCCAGCAACTGTTTCTTAATTGCTTGTAAAAGAAATCACAGCCAGGGAATTGGAACATCTTTTCAAGGAGATAATAAAAAACATGGATGAATTCTTTCCTGGTGAATCTTCTGAAAAAAAAATGTGTCTCATTTAAAAGTCAAAAGCACCACAGATGGCAGGTGATGCCAAACAAAGAACTTACCTTGGCTGTATCTCTGTTGGCTTCAGGCAGCAGCATGATCAACAGATGCAAAGCTTGTAGCTGTAACTTGATCTTGGAGATTTCTAAGGATATGAATAATTAATATTTCTGAAATCCCAATTGCAATTGGTTTGTTCAAAAACCTTGTGTGTCAGCAGTTCTAGAAATAACAGCTAGTACCTGGTTGAGACTAGCATGTTTAGGTGTTGTTTAGGTGTTGATTTTATATTTTCCAAATATAAAATATAAAATCAATTTAATGAGTGGAGTTTTCCTCATCCCCTTGGATGTTTGTCATATGGGGAGACAAGGCTCTATAAAATTCTGTCTACATAGTAACAAACCAATATTTTTCAGCACTAGCTAGTTTCTCTTAGATATTTGTGTATTTGTTGTAGGGAATAAAATAGTTCCATTCTGCACAGACACCTCCTCTTCAGTCTTCTCCAAATGGCTAAGCCATTGTAACTGCATGCAGTCTGGGACTCTCAAGGAGCACACTCAGGTATGTGAAGGTTACAGGAAAGGGACACCTCCTTCTGCCCTGTAAACTACCTAATGCAGACACTGAAAACTTGGCTGCAATCTTAGGTAAAGTTCCTCAGTTTTCTGTACCAAGTTGCCTAATTAATTCATCATCCTGAGAGTTTCACTCTGTACTAGCTCAAGTGACTTTACAGTGAAGTCATAGGTATGGCAAGGTACAACTGCATTCTTCCTGGAAGAGAAATGAACAAAATGTACTGAGAATGAAAGAGTGTATGTACACTGAAAACAAACCTGACTGCCTGAAGCTTTCTGTGATCACACTTATCTCTGTACCAGTATTCTGACCTCAACATAAACCTTAAGAGAAATAAAATAGATCCAAGACAATATTGGCTAAAGGGCTGATTTTGAGTTCACCTTGCAAAAATTTTCATTTGTAAAACTTATAACTGGTGTGAATCAGAGTCTATATATGAAAGTCATTTCTCAGCCATTGTTTACTCATAGTTTTCAAATTTTACATTAAACAGTTGTGTTATTCATACAATACGCTTATAGTACTAGCTAAATGCAGATACTTTTTTCTATTTGAAAACAAAATCTTGCAGAAAATTCAGATGTTTAGGCAGTGCACTGGGCCTGTTTTTCTTGCACTGGGCATGTTTTTCTCTCTACTTCAGAGAGAGAAAAAAAGCACATTTTTTTTCTCAGTACTTCAGAAAGAGAAAAAAATGTAATGTCTACTCTTCCATTCTATCTAGATCAGTCCACACTAACTCCATTGCCACATACTTTCCACTAGCGTGATAAAAGCAGGCAGATATTCTACTGTGAAGAGTGGGCTTGGGAGTTCTCTGATAAACATTTTCAGCAGTCCCGCTGCATCATTATTTCGTACTTGGTCCCAGTCAAAAGTGTCTTCGTAAAATTTTGCCTCAAGTTCTTGATGGAGATTCTGAAAGATAAAAGAAACGTTTGGCCTTTAATCATTGTTGCTGACCCAGCAGTTTGCCATCACTTCAGAAGTCCCATTACAAAGAGAATGCAGGTTTTGCACAGCACTTGAACTAAGGTAGCCCTAAACCACTGGCAGTCTTACACCCACATGGAGTTAAGAGCAGGTTAGCAAATCAAATTCCTGGGGATATTTGGCAACCCAGGCTAAATATGGTTTGCTACAGCTAGATTTCTGCCAGTGACCCCTTTGAACCATTTTAAAGCAAGACAATGTTGTGCAATGTCTTAGAACTAGAAACAGAAAACTCAGTTAACCGGGATCTTTTTAACACAGCTGTTCTTTTTGTTTAAAACACTCTCCAGAGGTTTTGACCCTTAAATCACAAAGGAGTGGTGTTTCTTCCTCACTGCTAGTGAACTCGCTAGATAGACTGTTGGCATCTGAATTCATGTGCCTTTAGCAAATGGCTTTAACTTTGTGTCTTCCTGTCTTCAGAAGGAAATTTTATGTCAGAATAATTATAGTTAGATTTTGTCAAAGTGCAGGAAAATAAAGGTATCAAACCATTACTGTCAGAAAAACCTCCACTTAAGGTATAACCCCCCCCAACCCCTAAAACTCAAAAAACACAAGAGAGGTCTAAGAATTGACGATTATACCATTTTAGATGCCCATTTAATCCTCTTGTTCTACTATGTAAGCTGCATAATAGAGGTCTGTTTAGTTCTGGAGGGTCACTAATCAGAGTTCAACACACGTGTGAATGGGAAATACTTAGCAAGGTTCCTAGTAGGAACAGAATTTGGCTTCAAACCCATATGACTGGAAAATGCAAGATCCTCAAAAAATTGTTGAGTTAAAATGATTGAAGGATGCTATTGTAATATAAGGATATCCATAAATAACACAGCTTTCATGATTATTACTGGCCAAACACTGTCTTATCCATAGGAGGGTGGTTGCTGCCTTTTATGAGACCATTTATGACAAAATTGTATCTGTAGCAAATATTCAGGTTTCACATCATGTTTTTGTCAAATGTTCTTTAATATTATGCAAAAAGTTTAGTCTGCTCAGGCAGAAAAGCTTTTAAAAATGAATTCTGTTTACCACGTCTCACATGAATGGAAGGAAATTACATATCAAATACAGTCACACATAATGAAGCAGAATGGTTGCACAAAAGGAAGTAGAAAGTCATTCAGGATTTGGCATATAATGTTACAGTCTCATTTTTACTAGCACATTTAACTGGTTGTAATCTGGGCTATCTCAGCTTCCTCTGTATTCACATCCCTTGCACATAATCCATACAAACACCTAGACTAAATTCTCTCCTGGTAATTGACTGGGAAATGTGGAACAGAAATCCTCACCTCATCAAAAGCACAAGAGGACAGATATCTACTCCACATTTTTCTGCTGAGAACTGGGAAAAAGCCGCAGAAAGAGAAAGCAAGATCTTTGAAACACAAACATTTTATATATATATATATATATATATATATACACAGGTAAGAATATATTTTATACACCCAATTCCCTCCACCCCCCATATATGTATGCATCTAAATACTTCTAAAATATGTGTTTGCAGTTTTTTTTAAACATGACTGACCCTACACTAGACCATCCTACATTTTTTGTTCACTGGAACTTCTGTTACAAACCAGATTACAGAGGAAAACTTGTATTTCTTTATTCTTTGTTTTATAGAACAGTAACCTTTAATCACTTCCATACGCCTTTTCTTTCTCCAAACAAGACTGAAATAAAGTTGGAATGCCCTCAAATCCTAATGTCATAATAATGTATGAAGGCTTTGAAGGATGAAATCTGGATCTGCTTTGAAAAAATCTCTCTTGCTCGTTGGCTCGTTGGACAGACTTAAATAAAACCAAACCTCAAATAATTTACAACTTTCATATGGGCAGTTTAATTTACCACCCAGTATAAGAGAGTTACATATAAAGTCATACCTTATTGCAGCTCCCTGGATATGGGCTGTGAATAAGAAGTGAACAATACACAGTACATCGTACACAAAGAATATGAAAATAATTGAATTAGAGCACAGCCCTGTGCTGTAATCTCCCTGAAGAGGTTGGTAAGATTTGAGATTGTGTGAAATAACATTTAAGCATTCATATGAAAAAAGGAGGAAGCTGAAAAGTACAGGGCAAATTAGGAACTTCCTTCTGCAAGATGAGGCACTTTTCAAGCCACTGGGTACTTTTATCAATCCACAGAGTCAAAGGAGCTGGGATACTACTGCCTATCTTTGGTGTGTTTCACATAATGTTTCTTTTCCATGTACAGTCATTTTTTATGATTCGCAGCCCCAGCCAGTTTAGCAATCCCCAACATTTGTATGGCTGTCACAATGTTGAGACTTCCTACCTCAGAAAGCAAGGCTAACTTTCTTGAGGATGAGAAAGTGGGAGTAAAATGCACTATAAGGTGTTTCTTAAACCAGAACAAAAAAAGCCTAGGGGGAAAAAAAAAAGGCAAAAATGTGGGAATGAGGTAGACACTACTAAGCCCAGAAAAAAAACACCAACCCAACAAAAAACACCTTGTTTTCCTAATTTGCCTGTGCCAGCTTCCAGAATCAAGTTAGTCTGGAGAAACAATAGCAAGCATTACTGCCCCACAATGTCAAGAGACTGGGTACCAACTATCCTGTGTTCACAGCTCGAAAACAGCCTGTGAAAATGCAGTACTTCAGGCTGCCAGCAGTGAACATATGCCAAATTTCTCTCACTTGGAACATGAAATTGTAAGATCACAGAAGATAAATGAGAAATAAAATGCCACAGAGGTTAAAAAGACATAGAATAAGATCTTTATCTGATGTTCACTGAGTTTAGCAACTTTGAATTTCTGAAATAAATTAAAACAGAGATAAGATCATAGCAATTTTGGATGACAGAGATAAACTGAAAGGATCCCTCACTGTTTCATGGAGAAAAACTGCATTCAACATCAAGACTGTGCTTTATATAGAACACTAACTAAAGAAAGCAATGGACTACATGTTCTGTGCATTATTGGTTCCCAGGAACCAATCTGACCTGTCACTGGCAGGAGAAGGAGCTAGACACATCAGTATTTATGTGCAGTGTGAATTTATGTGTGTGATATATTATTTTACACAGAGTCTGCGGTCCAGAAGATGGAAAACTGGCATGAGTGTGTACCTTGACTCTGGAGGCAGATCCAGGAACCCGTAGAATTCCTTCAGTTTCCAAACCTGTTTCCTCAAGCTTGAGCAGCAACTGAAAGACAACAAAACACTCAGAAGGGAAAATACTCAAAAGCACTTAAGAATACTATTCACTTTTTTTTTCAATCTTGGTATCCTTGAAACTAATTTGAAAAAGATACATTTCTATGGAATTTGCTCATGAAAAGATGCCAGCTCATGTAAATAAACCTGCCTAATTTGTTCTCCATATTCCTGAACCTGAAATAAGGAGTATGCAGCGTATGGAAAACTGCTAATGAAATAGGCCCCTCTGTCCTAGACTTGAGAGTTGTCACTGCTATAGAACAATTAACACATAAATGAATAATTAAAAGAGCAGATACACTGGGTAAAATACAGTGGTGTACTGAAGGACAAATAACCTCTGAGAAATGTTGAAGTATGCCCCAAGAAGCATAATGGAAAGGTCCATAGATAACATATGTTTTTGGGAACTGAGAACTCAGATTAGAAAATGATCCTAGGATATTCTATTTTGAAATTTCTGTGAATAGAGGAATAAGCTTTCCATTCTAATTCTTTATTAGAAAAATAAATATGTTTTCATTTGACATAATTTTGAACATTGTAAAAAAATAGTTTCCTAGCATTCAATCATACAGCTCTGGATTTTCACCACCAGATCTTCTTCCTGCCCTAACTTGGATTCTTCTAATTTCCCATGGTATTTTGACAGGGGAGCTGTAAAGCTAAATGCCAAGTCATGTAAATGTTCAAGTTGTGTCAGTCTTTCCCCTGACACTCCACACCACTTTCCCTTTTGTCAGTATTTACAAGGAAATTTGTTGTAATTGCACATGTACTTGTGTCTGTGTACCTGTCTCCAAGACATCCACTAGATGTCATTGTACTGCCAAATGGCTCATATAAGTGTTGTCTTGTCATACAAACCTCAAGGAGAATATACCACTTCTATTCTGGAAATAATAGCTAAGTAATACCTACAGTTTCAATTAATGTGAAATTAAAGCTCCTGAGACAACTCACATCTGCCATTTCTGCACATACATAATTTTGCCTGGCTCTCTAGTTTAACAAAAAAGGGAAATAGAAAGACATTTTTTTCCTAAAGTTTCCTGTGTGGTTTCATATCGTTACAAAAATAAAATGAGGTCCCCACCACAGATAAAACACACAAAAGGAGTAAATTTTGTCTCCTTGTCAAGAGGTTTTCAAACCACAATATACAGTCAGACAGCCTGCACGCACCCGCAAGTCTGTAAGGCCTGCATCTTCTCTCATCTGATGACTCATTTGAGTGTCAATGCAAATGATAGAGAAGCAAATCTTATTGTCCAAGCAAGCTGAGTTATACTCACTTTTTGGAAGATAAGGGGAACTTTTATTCCAGGAACCTTCTTTTGATCGTTCTCCAGCAGCACAGTGAGAGGGACTCCGAAAAGACCATTCTCTTAAAAATAACAACAACAAATGTGAAAAAAAGGAAACACAGCCTCGTATGCGCCTTCTTTGCAACGCTGATCGACACAGGCAAGTGGCTGCACAGGGGATGCCGTAGCACAGTACCTCGTCCCCGCACTCTCTCTGCACGGTTCCTCTTCAGTTCCACCCCCAGCGCATCGTAGAAGGCTGTTAGCTCAATCAGGGAGAGGTAGCGGATCTTCTTCATGTCTTCAGGGGAGAGGTCTCCGACCTCTGTCAGTCCAAACCGGCTTTTCCGAACAACGAATTTCTACAGTAGAGATGGGTCGCATCTTTATTTGCACAAAAATTGCAAGGAGTGAATTTTTGTTTTGAAGGAGGTGCCCGTATGTGATAGGAAGTCATGTTAGGGTAGATGGATAACAAAAAAAAGATGAACTATAGCTCTGTATACTGGCCTGGTATGATGACATCATTTGTGTCCACCTGAACATAAAGTTGAGCTTCTTGCTCACTATGTTCCCTTGCAGTTTGACTGGGAAGTGGTGTTGGAGCACCTCTGTGCCTGTACTACAGCTAGGACAAATGAGTTACATACTACTTTCAAACTTCTGCCCTGTTTCAGCAGGATGCAACATTTTGCTCTGCTTCTGCCTTCCCCAAAATGTCTTGAATGCTGTTGAAGTAGCTGACACAGTTCACCATGGATATGGTTGTGTATCAATCATGTGTCTGTAACAAACACATGCCTGCTTAGCATAATGCTATTAATTTATGAGGTCTAACAGAAGAGTTCAAACTAAAGACCTGTGGAAAAGCCCAGAAGCAAAATCACTTAGTCCTCATGCCAACCTGCCAATTTACTGGTATTTTTTATTGCTTAAAAAGCATTTGGGCTTAGAAGCAGGACTCCCAACAGCTAAGAAATAATTTATTCAAGTAGACTTGAACTAAATGATACTGAGGAATTTGAGGGCATGTGAAGATTTCTACATGTTTTAGAAACTGCAGTGTTGTAGACCGGAGACAGGAATGTTGCCTCATGACAGACACATTTGTACAAATGTCAAAAAGAACAAATACCCATCAGTTTCTAACATAATTGTTAGACATAATAACAAAGTTACAGTAAAAAACATGCTTTTCAAAGATCTTTGGTATTGTATGTCTTTTTAATTTAATTGTACTTTAAAAAAATGTTAGAGATATAAACAAATAGTATTACAAATCATCTCCTCCCTTTAGGGATCTGAGTGGAAACCCAGCCTTTAATAATGTTTTGCTTCTGGAGATTTCAGCCCAGTCTTTCTTTTTTTTAAACAAATTTGGACTCAATAGGTTTAAACCATCTTGAAATGAAGCCAGTCAAACTAATTACATAAAAGGCAAACAAAAAAAATTCAAACATACACCGGATTTCAAAAACAAGAGACTACAAAGGACATCTAGATCATGTAGTTTAGGACTTCCTAAATTATACTGCACATGGTCAATAGGGGTTAATAATAATTGGGGCAGAAAGAGTTCAGGGAACAGAATAACTAATGAACATGCTGTCTGTAGCATTTTAGCCCAGAATATTCCTTTTGTAGAACAGAGCAATTCCACAATTCCCTTATGCTGAAACTTAATAATGTAACAAAAGTTGCATTCAGGACAGTCTTCTGAAGATACATGAAATACTAAAGAATATCTATGCATTTTGGTTCCAGTGATGCGAAAAGTCCAAAATCAGTCAAAGCACAATAAATCACCTTGAAAATAAGAAAAAAAATCAGATAGTACACGTATATTTTCTGAGGGGAAAGTGAAAAGGTATGTTTGCCCGTGAAAAAATTCCAAACACTCAAAACTGGTTACAAAGGGTGCTACAATGATTTTCCATGGTGGCTGTTTGAGTTCTAGGGTCACTATGATGTGATGCTATGGTTAGCACAAGGTTTGGGGCTGGGCCTCTTTCTTCTGTCTTGTGTCACAATTTTCCAGTGGTTTTTCTTATGAACAGTCGTGTCAAAATATGCATCACTAAAGGAGGCTGTGCTATCCTGAAATTTGATTACTAATGTTTTGGCTAAGGACCATGTCTGATATATTTTGTGATGTTGTTTCTATGTGGAACTATGTAGTGTATTCAGATGGGCCTGATATGCTTACTGACTCGTAGCTTTGTAATATCTTTGACTAAGTCACATGGATTATGGTCCCGTGTTGGGGAAACTGCATGTAACACTATGCAGCCAGGGTTGTTGAGGTGGTCATTCTGGGAGCTGCATGGGACATGCTATTTTATGACATACAATATATCTTTGTGCAGCTCTGTATACGCTATCCATGACGTTGGTTATGTTGTCAGACCTGCCCTGGAGAAAGTATGATGTTGCACAGTCTTCGGTCTAGCCCCATTGGCCCACCATGGGGAAGGAGGGACAGTCCTCCAGGGTATAGAAGGCTGGTTGCTTGGTGTAACAGAGCAAGAGGTGAGGCCCATGACAGTCTGAGTCATTATGGGAAAAAAACAAATACCATGAGTGACAGCAGATGAAGTACGGGGAATGCCAACATCAACAGCTATGACTGCTGACTTTATTCAGAAATCTCTCTCTGTAATGACCTTTCTTATTTCTTGTGTACTCATGAACTCACAAAATTATGTCCTGTATGCAGAGTAGTTCAACCCCAGCACAAGACTGGCTTTTTCTAAAACTAATCGATTATGAATCCACAGATCCATGATATTCAATGTGGCATCTTCACTCTTTGTCAGCAGTTTCCCTCCTCTGTCAACTGCAAATTTTCTGAGCTGTTGCAGAGAACAATCTGTGTGTGTGCGTGTGGTAGTAAAGGCCAAAATTATGATGAATGCAGAAATACCCTTACTTTCCACAGGACACCAAGTTATCCCCCCAAAAAAACCCCAAAACAACCAAAGACACAATAAAACACAGGGATTTCACACAAGTTGTGTAATCTACTTGGTGTCTTATCTTTTGACAAGCAAGCTTACTTCTGCATCTCAGCTTCTTCCTTGGTAGAGTCTGAGATGGACAAATGAACGTCTGTGTGGATTATAACAGCTTCAGATTAGTTCAGGATCTCAGAACATCATGACACTCAGGAAATGCTTCCAAATAATTTACAGCTGACATCATAGATGTCACTAAAAAGGCGGCATATGAAGCACTAAACTAATGCTTCCAGTGATGGAAGTTGTGAGGGCTGATGGAAGTAGAAAACAGATTTCCTTGACTTCACGAAATAATTCCAGATAATGATAAAACTGCTCAGTGTATGTCTGGTTGGATGATATGGTAAATTTTTCTTTAGCCATTCATATAGTATTTCCTATAGCACTGAATACTGATTGGAAACAGTCAGTACTGCTGCAGGTCTAAGGTTTGCTTTCCTCCCTTCATCTATGGAGCAATTTTAAATCCATGTGTTAACTAAGGCAGATAATCTGTGGGGGAATAAAGTAGGAAAGCAAACCCATAATGAAAATGATTGTTAGTTTTCATGCCAGTAAGAGGTTTTTATTTCTGCGTGAAAAAATTGTGGATGATGCAATATTTGTGGAATGAGTTACACTTGTACTGTGATGGGTACAAGTAAAGACCTGGTTTGGATATCCATATTAACTTTGGTGCCTCTCTGGGAGTCAGTCACAGGCAGAAGGCAGGCACAGGAGGCAGTCTCTACAAAGCATGTGTCTAAAAGGACAGCTCATGTATCTTAACAGACTCCAACAGTGCTGGGGTGTAAAGCAGGAAATTGCTGTATTAAAGAAAACAACCAGGGAAATATGTCAAGAACAAACTTACAGGCAAAGCCGAGTCTTCTTTTTTGAACCTCTGATTTTTTGGCCACTCTTGGGTTTTTGGAAGGACTGTAATGGATTCTGAGAAAGAGACCTCATAAGAGAGCTCTTCTGTTACGGATGGGCTGCCTTTATCTAGTCCACAGTCTAGACAGCTATTAGCTGAAAATAAGGGAAATAATATATGAATGCTGAATATATGCTTGCATTTAGTACAGAGACATTAAAAAATTAAACCAAGATGACAAAAGTCTTGAGACAGTAATAAAGGAAGTGCTTCAAAGAGGAGTTTCAGTGCAAACCACAGCATGTTCCTGTTTTGTCTGGAGGAAATAACCCCTTAGAAATAAAATCCCTATTTTCAATTTAGATTATTTAACTTGTTGCTTTCTGTGAGAAAGATAGTCAAGCTGGAACTTCCTGTTTATCAGGAATTGCAAAGTTTTTGTACTCTGTCCTTGTCTACCCAAGCCAGCAAACTGTGGTAGCACTTGTCTAATGAACAATTAAAAATTAAAGGTCTTGACAGAAAAATGCTGTTGACATAGTTTCTTAGGTTACTTATAATCATAAGACATTGTGCATATATTTTATGTGGTCACAGACATACATTTCTCAATGTTGACAGTTTAGTGTATAGCACCGAAACAGGACACAATGTACAATATTCCAGTTTGAAAAACACTGTATCTACTGGCATTTATGGTAGATACTGTGAACTGACTTATTGCTCTTTAGTTACCTCCTGAAATTAGTGGATGCCAGAGGAAAACTTTTGAAATCAGTACAATCAAGTTCAGTAATATGCTATTGTCATGGAATCCAAAGTGTGATAACATACATGAGTTCCAGTGTTGCCAACTTTCACAACAGATCTCTCATATCTCAGGTCAATTTTTATTTTCCCTTAAGGTCCAACTCCTAGACTCACCTAACTGGAATATAATCATAAATTTAACTGAAAGTGAAGTAAAATTTCATCACCCAGGACTTCAGGAAAGAATTTACTAACATGACCCAAATGTGTTCAAAAGCCACGGAAATCAGAAAGTGAATTAAAAAACATTACATATTTTATAAACCTGTGCATGTCCAATGTTTTTTGAATCACTGTATTAACAGATACAAGGATTTAAATATTTTTTGCAACACCCTTTGTTTTGCAAGTCTGATATGAAAAAAGCTAAGTGTGTTATTGAGTGGCTTCCAGTTTTTGAACTGTGGATTTAGATTTTATCTAATAGCCAAGCCATTTAAGATGTTTTCCATCTCTTTCCCCCCTTGGACCTGAGACCACAGACTGTCTACAGTAGCACTGGGAATTTGGTTCCCCATCTGCTGCAGTACAACTGCTTGAAGAGCAGAACTATCAGGAGAGCAGCTTTTGCCACCAATGAAAATGCCTGTGGCACTATACCCAGAGGTAAACATCCAAGGGACTAGTTTAGTAACTTGGGAATTAATATTAATTTAGTTAAGCCCCGAACAATGTGGATGGGAAAAGCATTCAAAATAAAAGATGGACTTTCTCATGGAAGGCTACTGACAGTTATTCAGACACTAAGTAGAGTAGAGCTATTGTTTTCATTAGCAGTGCCAGTCACTGTCAGGACAAAGCATTTAAGGGGTAACACCATTAGTGGATCAGAATAATAGGGCAGAACCACAAAAATGATCCATTTCTAATACTGCAGTTTCTGCAGTACTAGAGAAATGTGGAGGAAAATAAGAATCTTTCTTGTCATCATATGCAAAAAGAAAATACACTGATGACATAGATTGGACAAATTCTGCAAAATATTGTTTAGTGATTGTTTTAACAATCCCAGCCTTGCAATGATCAGTATTTTTTAGATGCTGATGCCTCAAGGGCAGCAGTCTGAGTAGTACAACACTGGTCATTAATAGGAAACTTTGGGTCCTGCATGACAATAAGCTGACAATGATTTTAAGGAAATATATGCAGCACTGCCTCAACATGAAAGAAGGGACTAACCCCTGAACCACAAAAGGGTCTGTCTATCATTTTTCCAGGAGAAAGTGAATACTGGTTACATGTTGTCATACTCACAGGTAACTGATTTCCAAACTGCCTTCTGCCCAGGGAGCTGGATACCGTTAGAAGGAACTGGTGGCACTGGAACTGTCTCAAATGTGAGCTGATAAGCAAGGAAAAATGATCAGACTACAGTGAAGGTAAAAGTCGATGGACAAAAACTACTACAGTTCAAGCAACAGTGTATAATTCCCAGCTTACACTGTTTTGAAAAGATAGAACAATCTGTTGTGATTCTCAAGAGTATATTTTTCATAGCCAAGACTGAGAATTAATTTTGCTCATCCTGTATAGATTTGGATCATGTTGAGGTCAGTAATATTAAAGCTTGCTGTACCTAATGAGTCCTGTCCTATATAATGACTGAAATTAGCTAAGCAAATTGCTGTACAGAACTATGCTAAGAAAAAAGTCCTCGCAGAACTGTAATTCATCCTGCTTTTAATCATTTTGGCCACAAATCTTTTTGAAGAATCTTTGGCACATGTTGAATATCTGCTGTTCCCAGGCATCTGTCTTCTTTGGTGTCTCTTGCAATTTAGGCACCAGCAAGTTATTAATGGGCAGATGTCCTCCCACATACTAACATTTTTATCGGTGGACTGCAAAAAACGTTTTGAAGGAACGAAGAAATTTTCTGTAGTAAAATTAATTTCTTTCCACTCCAAAAGTCATTCTGCACTGCAGAGAAAGAGCTTAGTAGCCCAGGGGGTGACTTTTAAGCAGTGTCACCTCTTATTTGCAGTGGAATTTAGGCTTTGTTCTCAGCAGTTCTGTGACTCATAAAGACAAATTCGAGTGTTTCTGTGTACATGGGGCAGTAGCAGCTCATCTATGTGTTCATGGGTAAAAAAACCAAAACTACAAATCAAGGTCATGAATTAAAGAAATAGTCTGAAGATTACTCTGTGAAAATGACTACAATATTCCAAACCTTTCTCATATTTTTTTTCTGCTGTCTTCTGCATCCTTGTGGGAGTCCTTGGAGCCTCCGCCTTTCTCAAACCTGCTGCCTCACCCTCTTTGAACCTAATGGAGCAGCTCCAGTTTTCTAGCTGAACCTGCATCTGAGAGACCCCATGAGCCCTCAATACCCGCTCTTTAAATTGCTTTTTAAATTGCTAAATCGGTTGTTTACCAACAGCCAGCAATGCCTCAGGGCAGAAATTTTGTCTTCCCCATTTGTAGCCAACACACAGGAGCAACATTCAGGCTGCTAAAAAATGTCATATATTTAAAAGACAGGCAGCTCTTCAAATTGGAAGCCTGAAATAATGTTGCAGTTGTTTTATTCTGCCTTATCCTCTGAGCTATTTGGGTAACAAAGTCAAATGTAACATGAACAAAATCTCTCCTGAGAGACTCCATTCAATAGCTTGCTAACTTGAGAGCAAACAGGATTTAAGTCACACGGACTTCCTTTGCCAGAAGACTGTAAGGACTACCGATTTTTTGAAAAGGAGAACTATAAGATGCTTTTATGATAAAATCCCACAACATTTACATAAAAAGCTTCAGGACATTAAAAATACTATAAATTTCAGGTGGGAGTATGGAAGTGGAGGAGATGGTTAGACCTGTCTCACCAGTTTGGGAAAATCAACCATAAAAGTACTTATGCTTCTGCTTAAGTTCCAGATGGAGAAATTAATGGTAAACATTAGCAACTCCCTCATTTACTTTCAGTGCTCAGAATGTCTGACCCTTCTAACAGTTTTCAGAATAGATTTACAATGAGTCAAGTTTATTAAGGAAAAAAATACTTCCAGCCTTGTTACAAGGGTGAATTCAATAGCAAAGCACCTGCAGTAACCCACTTCCATAAAGCACAACAGAGCCAGCAGAAAGGAGCAGACAACACACCTCTGCTTCACACCCATCAGGGCTTGCAACAGCCCGTGGGCTGCTCTAGCTTCTGGCAATTATAGAATAATGTGGACCATGCACAGTATCAAGCTACAATGTCATATTCTCAGTCTCTTTTCCCAGCCTCCACAGTGAGAGTGTACAAAGAAGCCAAATCTATGTCCCTTTTGTGAAAATGTCTTCCTTCCCCCCCATTTTACTTTTTTAAAATCTTAAGATAATATGAAAAAAAGAAAGGGAAGACTGGGAATAAAACCTTTTTAATACATGAATTTTAAAGATCCAGATTATTTCTGTAGTATAAAAGAAGAATAAAAAACTGTGGAAGATCTTAATGAATGTGAAAGACCAAGAGTCAAATTGTGTCCTTAACTAAACTGGAACAGCTTTATTCATCTGGCTGGGGCTCCAGCTAAGGTGAAGCTTCTCATACCCTGATTTCTGTCTGAAAGTGATTCATTAGACATATTAAAAATGAACCCACTGTTTACTGCCACAATGTACACAGGAATTTCCAACGGGGAGAGGAAATCAGAAGAGCAAGGAGAAGCTAGAGATGAGGCTGACAGTTCTTTAGTAGCTACCCTCATCGTAGAAGATGTAAAACCAAATCATTGCAGCACCTAAGCAACCAAATTCTATTGTCAGCCCTGTAGCTAAGGGAAATAAAGGCAGAGGAGGATAACCTTATAGTTCTGGTCAGGGCATAATTTGCCAATGCTTTGAATATATTCATATTTCCAAGCACTGTCATTACAAACACCTTTTCATGCAAATAGGTCTGGGTTAGTGATTTCTCCTTAATCAGGACATGATTTTCTCATGCATTGCTGAAGTAAAATGCTTCCAAAAACTCTTAAGGAGTTTCACAAGGCATAGAGCTGGGCTGTTAAGGAGCATGATGCACTTCCTCCCTCCAATAACAAAATCCATGTGTGTGTGTGTCCATTTGTATTCTGCTGATTTTTCTAGGCTTTGAGCACTAGCAATGCCAATGGCTTCTGATGGAAGCAGCAGGGTACCAGCAGTAAGAAAAATCAGGCCACAGTGATTAATAAACCATCCAATTTAAAACTCGGTATTGTGGCTGTCAGTCAAGGCTCCTGGCTGTAGACCTGTCTGAAGCAGAGCAAAAGCACCTCAGCTGGGACAGGCTGCTCTTCCAAGGCATGGCTCTTGCAAGGGTGATGTACCACAGGGGCAGCATTTTGCCCCCAGGGATCATGGCACCTTTCCAGGATAGGCAACAGAAGAAAAAAATCCAAACAAAACGAGGAATGGCTGCATTTCCCTTTGAGTCCACTTTGTCTGTTGAGGGAACACTCCTGCCCTGAGGGGACGGACCTCAAGGCAGGAAGACTGAAAAAGCACCCTCTGCTCTGTGTTGACTCCCACAGAGGCTGGCCACCAGGTAGTAGTAGTAGCAAAACATGTAGCAGGGAGGCTTTTTTTTTTTTTCAGAACGGAGACAAAAAACTAGGGCAAATTTTTCTTTTCCCCCACTCCAGATGACAACTATTTACGCCTCTTTAGTGATCTCCTAAATCTCATCTCAGGTGACCTTACTGAGCTAATCACCTTTTATCTCATCATTAGCCACAGAAGACAGTAAACCATTCTGTAACCCGTCCCTCTAGGCTCTTGCAATTCTTAGGTCGTTGGGAAGAAGGTGTAAATCCATCCTCCTAATGGAGAGGATTATAGAGTTATGTGAAACAATTAGAGCTGTTTTGCTATTTGCACCATGATTACTTCTTCCTTCCCAACAGAAAGGCAGGATGGGAAAGCAAAACTTCATGTCATTTCAAGCAGTCTCCTTACCAGCCTCTCTTCAGCAGCTATGCTGAAAAGATTTGCCCCTTCCCGTCTCCTGTCGCTCTTTTCTTTTTGCTGGGTTGTTTTTAATGCGGATCTCTTTCCTAAGCTGATTCATCACAAAGATTCACCGCCAGCCGCGGTGCAGTGCCCAAAGAGGCAGCAGAGCGCGAGGGACTGCTGATACCCCCTAACAAAGACTGCTCGGGAAACCCTTAGGTCAGGAACACAAGCTCCTCTGAAGTGTGTTTATCCCTGAAGAGCTGATAATTAGCACAAAGTTCCTAAATCCCATAATAAGCAGCAGAGATAGGAGCAATGGTCAATAGGAAAACCAAAAGGGTGCTGGGAACCTTGCAGGCTTTTAGAAATACAATCTTTCACAGTCCATTGGAGGGAAGTGATGGTGTGTTCTGCAGTTGTATTTGTGCATCTGTGTTTAACATTTAGTTAAGTACCTGCCTAACTGCATATTTTTGTGGGAAGAAAAATTTGAAGACTTAATTATTTATTTGATTCTATCTTTTAGACTTTAAAAATGCAGAAGTAGTAAGTGAACTGAATTTCAGAGGAAGTAAAAAAGTGATTTGAAAGGCAATTGGCTCTGAAGATACAAATTCCTCTAGCAACTGAGAAACTTCAGAAAGTGAGAAAGTAGAAAATAAGCAGGTCAAAGATAAATCAATAATGTGCCTATCTGAGAGAACGGGTACAACATTTATTTTTCTGATTGAATTTTATTAGGAAACTTTAGTTTTTTTAAACACCTTAAGGTTTACAAAGACTTGAGTCAGGAGAAATGTGCTAATCTAATTAGAAGAACCATCAGCTTTTTAACGTTCATGCAAACATGCTTTTTTATTTCTCACGAAAGAAAGTCTGACCACAAGAAACTACTGGATACTTCTGGATGTATTTGTGGGATATCCGTAAGAGGTTCAAAAAAAACCAGATACTTAAATTCGGAGACAAATAAGTTAACTTTCTGCCCATTATATCTTTTTGATTTTATCATAACTATGAAGCTAAAATTTTGTATCCCAATTTTTTTTTGTTTTAAATACTCCAGGAAGCCAAGCCTTGAGGAGAAGATAGGACAAACAGAAAAGGACAAAGAAAAATCATAATGAAAAAGAGTTTCTTGGAGTTTTGTGATGGCAAAAACTTTAATATTAATTTCAAAGGTGAGACCGTGAGCTTATTGGTGACTCCCATTTAAGGTATCATGAGTGACAAAGGTAAAATCATGCATGTTGCTTTGAGCATTGAACTAAATTCACACAGTTTACTGCATTCAACAGAGTCAAAACATGTAGTGCTAGGAATTGGTTCATTTAGGGCTATCCTCAGGGAAAAGCAGAAGAAACCACCAGAGGTAACATTCATTTCTGAAGCCATGAAGCAAATGAACAGTTAATAGATTTTCATTTGCTACATAAGTGAAATGTAACTGCCAGTGTACCAGTTGCAATCATGCTGGCAGGTGTTTAATTGCTTATGCATATTTGAACCCCAGTTGCTTCATTAGAGAAGTTTTACTTCACCACTGAGACTGCTGAGTAAATAGCAAGTGTCCCCAGAAGCCGTCAAAAATTTGAATAGCTGCCAAGAGTAACTCACCAATTTCCAAAAAATAAAGGAGTAAATGTTAGTCTTGGTAGGAGATTGCAGGAGGAAGACTGGTAAAAGATACAACATTATGTTACAAGTTAGTTGCAAAACTGCGTACCATCTATTGTGTTTGGTGCCTTCCTTTCTTCTCAAAACATAGCATATAGAGTATTAAAAGTCTGATTTTAGGGTCAGGAGCTGCCACTGGCTGGCTGTACATTGTCAGCAGAAAAAGGTTCCTGTCTGGCAGAAACTTTGGTGAGCTACTTGCAAATTGCATAAAAATTAAGATCAAAGGGATACTTACAGAAGAGTCATTGGTGCCAAAGATGTCTCGCACATCCCGGACTGTGTGCTTGTTCTTCTTCCTCAGGGTCTGAGTGTAGGTGTTGTACCTCTTCTGTACGGCAGCAGCTTGAGTCCTGGTCAGAGTGGACAGCAGAGCTTGGCCATCCTCCTCTTCAGCTCCAGAGATCAACGTAGATAAACCTACATCTTGCAGCCATTCTGCCTCCAGTTCCCCTTCTGTGAAGGAAGAGAGCGTGTTACCAGGCCTGGCAAGGAAGGGCGAGGGGGCTGAAGGAAAGGAGATGGCATGACGGACTGCTGCCATAGCCTTTACCTTGACAAGACTCCAATTCCAACCTTTTCTAGGCCAGAAGTGCAAGTAAAGATGGTTTTGTCAACATGCTCTCCACTTCCAGTTTGTCAGTGTCTGCATAGGAGAGGCTTACAAGAACAGAAGAGGCATTTCTAACCTGTGCATCAGCATAGGCTGTGAAAAAGGCAACAGAGTAGCAAGCCTGACACAGCAAGGTCCTTAAAAGCTAACGCCTAATGCAAGAGCACAAATCTCCTCAGTTACCACTTATGCCATGCTTACCATTTTTAGCATGCTCTACTGGATAAAGACATTTGGCTGATGGAATTTAAATTGGTATTCGAATTCAAATAAACAAAAATACTGAAGACGTATACAACAGAATAATGTATTTGCACACTAACAATGGAATTTGAGATGTCAGAGGGCCAGCTGGTGGTCAGACTCCTAGTGAAGAAGCCACACTAAGAGAAGGGTGATGTCCACCCAGTCCAGCAGATTGTTTTGAACAAGATGATTAAGAACCAGAGCTGCTCACTAAAGAACAAGGTTCAGGAAGGGGTAGGTATCAAAGAGGTCAGGTAGGGGTGGAATATGCAAAAATAGCCATCCTTGCATGCTAGGTGTCATCCTAATTTCTGATAATGAAAGACTCACTAGCACTGTACACCCCAGCATTTCTTGGTATTTTAATTAGTGACTAATATCTTGAATCTTGTTTCTCAGCTGGTTCAACACTGTAACTGGTTCCATAGTGAGATTAGGCACTGTGTGAAAAATTGTTTTCTATCCTGGCTCTATTGGGGGAAGCTTCTGGCATCTTTTCACAGAGCCACACTTGCAGTCCCCCCGCTACCAAAACCTGTCCAGGCAAAGCCAAGGCAGGTTTTCAGCTTGCTACTTGTTACATTAAATTAATATGCCTTGCAATTATTGGACTAGCAGAAGCTCCCAGTCTACCTTCTCTGAATCATTTAGTGATTTTAAATTTTGCTGTCATTGCTTTTTTATTTGTCTGCTTTTTAAAGTAAATAGTCACAGTCTTTTAAAATCTCTCATCACATAGGAGATTTTTGAGGTCCTTCATTTCAGTTTTGGGAGCAATCCTAGCTCAGCAGTATGCTGCTTGAGACAGGACACTAATTTCATTACGGCTCTAACTGAAGAAGAGGTACTACAAATAAACATGTCAAACAGGAAATGGATTAATTTGCAGCATGTTCTATAAAACAACTAGTCAATGCACTTATTGTTCTTGTCCCAGTGCTGGTCTTAATGGCAGGTTGGTATTTCCACTCTCCCTTTATTGCCTCTTCTTGACATCAGAATGCAGGCTGATTGATGGACACCAGTTTGCTGCACTTTGGCAGCTAGATACACAAAAGAGAAAATTACAGGACTGGGCTGTAGGGACAAGCAAAAGCATCTTATGCATGTGCCATCACTGACTTCATTGTTAACTGCCCTGCCTCTTTACAAAACTCTACAAAAATAGCTGCTTCTAAAACCCTTGCTCTGTGTTAGCCAGGGGTGTGACCAGCCCTGTATGCCGTGAAACAGCTTCTCTGCTCTTATCCTTTCTGTATCCACAGACAGGAGTACAGTGTTCCCTTCCCATCTTTGTAAGTTTCGACCTTCCCTCCTCACTCTTCTTTCTAAGAAGGTCTCTTCTCATTCTTCTGTGCAGCTGTTGGAGCCACATCTGTCCATGTTTCAGTTTTTTAATTATATTAATTTTAGGTTTTGTCTTGACATATTCTTTCCAAGTATTGAGTTTTTAATCAAACTCATTTTTCATGATGCTATGAAAAATAGTAAGGCAGACATGAAATTCTGCCTGCTTACCACTTGTTTTCTCTGGCTTTTGGCCTCTTCCTGTTCCAACCACTCACAAACAATAGACTAAGAAATAGCAACAGCAATCAGAGGAATAAAACTATCAAAGAGAAGAAATTTATGCATTAAAAAAACTTCAAAATCTTATGTCACATAGGTTTTAAACATAGGTTAAAAACCCCTCATGTTGTTATACAAATCTTATTTTGACAGTTAGCTACTTATACAGCAGGGTCTTGATACTGTGCTCCACCAGAAAATAAACAGATAATTGTGAAAGTAATTATCTTTTTCTCATAGAGATTGCTAGGAAAGAGGTGTGCCTTGCTTTGAATTTCAGATATAATCTGAAATAACTCACAGATATAATCTTAAACAATGCACAGCATCCCAGCCTTGAAACATGAAGTTATAAAGCAGCTCAGTACATCACAGACATCTTAAATACCCCGTCTTCCTCCTCCCCTACATTTTCACATTTTCACCCCTTGTGTCACTTGTTATAATCTTCTGTTCTTTTTTGATTGTATTTACTAACATCAGCAGAGTAAGTGTGCTGTTGTCTGTCCCTTGCATGTGTTGTCTGGCAAACCACACTGTGGTTTTGACAGCATCAGTAGTGCCTGGCCACTATCACCCTTTGGCCTTCTTTTTAAGGATCCTGCATCTCTTCCTCTCAAAGACATCTCAAAAGGGCGACGAATATTAGTTTTTATTTTGTCCCAAGGGTTTTCACATTGATTTGGCAAGGAGATTTATCCTATTAGGACCTTAATAGAACTTCCAAGATTTATAATCCCAAACTGAATATACTCCTGATCTTAATAACTAGGACAAACATTGTCTGGTTGTGTGTGAGTGTATGCAATATATATATATATGTTTAAAACAACAAAACGAAGGTAAATGAAGTATGGAGATGTGCTGCACTTTGACCTGCAGTCTCATTTTTAATTCATGTCAGAGGGGAAAAAATCAATGCGTTGTAATGAGATGTAATCAGACAAAGGGTAACATAGGACTGCAGCAGAGTTTGGGCTGTTGTGACGATTTAGTTCAGCAGTAATGAAAGTGATGGAAAACTTTCTGGAAAATGAGGTTCTGTACTGACTTTCCCTACTAACTTACACAGCTTGGTAACTCACAGATTTGTGACACTCTCCTGACAAGTCAGAGATGCCTGTCAGTTCATGCTGAATGAAGGAGAGACACCAATAGGTTCACAACCTCTTTCTAAGGTCTCCCAGTTAAAGAGTATGATCAGACAAGACTTTTCCCAATAAGAAATGGAGGAGTGCAGTTTAGATTTAAGCTGACCGACCATAACCCTCATAGCAGACCAAGATTTCTGGTGAACCCGTCTTCTCCCTTGGCTTCCAAGAGAGCCCTACTGGGAACTACTGAGTGGGAGGTGTTTCCAATGGGAACAGTACGTGGTTGGAGTTAGATACCTCTGTATAAGTTACTTACCATGACTGATTACATATTTGTTTGATTAATAATGTAGTACTTTTCCCCCCTTTTCACCATTCTTCCTGGGAGCAGAATTAATTTGACATCCCATTGCGTGTCAAAGTAAAAAAAACCTCATCACCACTTGTGTTAATAACTGCAAGGAAAGAACACACCATTGCTTCAAAATCTATCCCTAGATCAGTAATTACCAGACTAGTAGCCATAAGCCACAAGATGTTCTCCAGAAAGAGTTATCAGTGGGTCATGACCTCAGAAGAAATTCTTTTTCATCCTATAGTAACACCTGGTATTTTGTGTTGCACAATATAATGCATTTGTAAATGGGGTCAAAACCGGAAAAAAATGTGAACTGCTGTTCTACATGTTATCAAATCTAACACAAAGCTGTATTGCAACAAGCCAGCACAGACTATTATGTATTTTTCCAAATACAGTACAAAACAAGAGAGAGGAAAAGGTTAAGATAACAGAATGAGGTAGTAATACCTTCAGGATATGTTGCATAAGTGATGAATGAATTTGGTCAAGTGGGGAGTCTGAACAATGTAGGCACCCATATATTCAGACTTACCTCTGAACTAAACTCTGAACTCTTCTTGAATTATATCTAAATTGGGTAATCTCATAGAAACAGGCAGTTATCAAATTCCTGATAACACTAAACAATATCTAACCAAAAAATTCTCCAAGACTTAATTAACTTCTGCATCATATCCAACCAAAAGCCAGAAAATTTAAAATTCCAGCATATTAAATGAATTATTAACAAAATAAATTTAACAAAATAAATTGTTTCACTTTAAATGTTTTGCTTTAGTCTATTTAATGCTGGAGATTTAGCTTTCATTGAGTGCCTCTCCTTTATGAATTACACCGTATCTGTTCTCCTGAAGCACAAAGTCAATGCAAAAAAACCTTACTTCAGAAGTTAATTACCAGCTCCAGTTATAAACCAGAGTGAATTATTGCTTCTTTCCAGTGATTGACTGTGATGTTCAGAAGCAGAGCTACAGTGACCCAGCCTAGTACTTTTGCTCATACTGAGTGACACAAGAAAGGAGATCTGGGCACGACTCTTTAGTGAGAAGGCAAAGCCAAGGCATAAGGAAGAAGTGATGTTTGTGTGCTCACCATCAGCAGGTTTGAACTCCAAGACTGTTGCTTCTTCAGATCCATCTTCTCTGCTCTCCTTGATGCTCTCCACTTCACACCAAAAGTCCTCCATGGAAGTGCTGTCCATGGAGGCCTGCGAATTGGAGCGACTGAATGTAGGAGGAGGAGCTGACTCATTTGAAAGCATCCTGTTAATTCTTCGACAACGAGAGAGGGACTTTCTGAAGAGACAGTAATACAAATAAAATTATCTTTCTATCATGCTAACTTGTGCCATGGAGATGAAGCAGGCAACTAGGGCTTCACCTGTGACTGTACCAGGGAGGAAGGAACAAGATTTCAGAGACTAAGTAAACAGTTCTAGTAATTGTAATGACCTCTGTTGCTCAGAACAATTATGGCTAGACATTTATTTTGCATCTAATAATTTATCTATTTAATGTTTAGTGTTTCTCACTCTAGAGAGAGATGCAGGAGATGAAATTTCTATTTGTAATACTGATATCCATCTAATGACATGCTGGAAAACTATTTTACCTTTTTTATACCTCAGTTTCTCTTTCTATCCCTTCTTGTTTTGCTGGCTGGCTGAAATTTTTCAGTGAAAACTCTGGGGAAAAATAATGAGACTTAGGAACCCTGAAATATTTTATAAACTTATACTGGCTCCAGAAAACAATTTAAAACTTGAAATACTTTAATTCAGAGAAATCATTACCTTTTATTTGAAAAGATTTAAAAAAAAATTTAAAAAAGATTTAAAAAGATTTCTTTTTTTTTCTTAAATTAAGCTAAAATAGAAAAAATTTTAACAAAATTTGTCTTTGAATTGAAATAGTATATTCTGGGTCAGGCAGAAGGCTTTGATCACAGGTTCAAAAAATTATGATTCACTAAAAATCAAGTTTAAACCTAAGATTCAATACAGTGATTGAATTAAAACAAAGTTTGTTCCTTACTCTTTTGTTCTGATCTTTTCCCACTGTAAGTACTTGCAGCTGAAGACAGTTATATAAGTTAATTCAAAATTTAATACAACATCCACCATGAAAGTTTCATCTGACTTTGCTCTTTTACATTATTATGGCTGCAATACTGTAAACAGCTTTTGTAAGTATAATTGTAGTAGATACAGTAATCAGTAATAATAACCACAACAGTATTTGTACAAAAGAGTTAGGAGGTAACACAATCATGGCAGAGAGCTAGACTACAGGAATTAATGGAAAGTTCTGTCATAAGGTCTTCTGGCCTTCGCTTATCTGAATTAATTCAAATGTAGTTTCCCTTTCTCTTCCTTTTCTGCATTCTCTTTCCCTTTCTCCATTCTGCCAACACGCCTTTGTTTAAAAACACAGGCAACACTTTTACTCCACTAAAAAAAAAAAAGAAATATTTCCTTTTCAGTATTTCCCTCTGTGTCAAAGTTTTGGTAATGGATGTATAAAGAATATGTTATTTAATAAAGCTGACCAAGTATGCTTTTTCCTCTTTGTGCTGCTGCCTCTGCTTCATCCTTCCTTGCCAGTGAAGGGCTAGCTGCTTTCTTGGGGCTCTTGCAGCATCCTTGCTCTATCTGAGTGGTTCCTTCTGGGCTAGGTCTGAGCCCCAGGTTAGGGAACTGTGGTAGAAACAATGGAGCACATCAAATCCAGCTTTGGATGTGATCAGGCTTTATAAAAGTTAAAGCTCAGGCCTTTGCCTTTTTCTGAACACATGCAGCTGTTATATGGATGATTCAGTTGCCAAAACTGCCCATGTTCTCTTGGAGAGCTGCTGAGAAGCAAAGCTTTGTGATGGGTGACAACACTGCAGGAGAAAATGTGCTATGGGGCTGTGGAGACATGTACTCCAGGCAGAGAAGTGCTATCTTCACTGTTTTTCTCCTTTTTCCCCCTTATAAACAGAAAATGATTGTTTACTTTAAAACACAGTGGTGAAACTGTTACTGTTTTAATTAGAACAAGCCACAGTCACCAAATCTGAGAGGAATTTGTGACACAACTGTGGTTAAAGCTATTTGAGTGTTTTCCACATAGCTTTCCCTCTGGGGAGACGTGTTTCAGTCGGCTTTTGTTTGCAAAGCCTCAGATGACTAGGGTACCTGATAAATTATAATCACTGGGATTATGTATTCTGGATGTGTCAGCCTCTGGTTTCTTATGGGTTTCCCTTTCTTTTATGGATTCAACTGTCTCTCTTCCCTGCGTCAGCAAGTAAGAAAAAAAAGCATGTCTCACTATCATGACCTAACTATCACGAGTTAATACTGTATCAAGCATCCCCAAGCAGAGGTTTTAACCAGCAGAAGCACAACTCCTGAGAAGCAGCCAGAAAACCCCATCTCTTCAGCTGGGAGCTGGCAGGGGGATGGGGGAAACAGCTACCACTGACCAACTACTTGCTGCTGTGAAAAGCTGAGCTCTTTTGTTTAAAAGGTGATAGTGAACACAAATAAGGAAAAAGGCAAAACTTCCTGGCACTCTAATGGCGTTTGGGGCCCCTGTTCTCTGGACATTGTGAGAGCAGAGGAGACAGCCTGGGCCGGTGCCTATCCTCCTGCCGCAGACTGCCCCTCACCAGCCTCCGCTTCAGCTCAGGGCTCTGCCTGAAACCCCGACACTGCTGCCCACTGAGAAATTCATGTCCCTACTTAACATAAACCTTTGTGAAAAATAAGTTCCTACATGTGCTATACAGCACAGCCCATAGATCTCAAGCCAGCAATTGCAGTACGGAACACTCTCACCAGTCTGGAATCAAACATGTGCTAGGAGGAGAAAAGGGCAGCTCTGATAGCATCATTGGATCCCATAATTTAATCATGGTCAGAGAATTTAAACATTTCCTGCCCTTCCAGTGTGAATCTTGACCATGACCCTGCTCCTTGGGCCCCGACTCCATCACCACTTCAGCTGGCTCGAACTATGGCTTTTTATTTCACCATATTAGGAAGAAAGAGGCTTGGTGGGTTGCTGCTTTTCTCCCCACAGCGAGTATGCTTATTTTGTAATACTACCATACCAAAAAGCTAAATGCAAAACAGACCATGTAGCATGGCAACAACTGCTGTGGCAACCAGCTTTACCAAATACGTCTAAGGTTCCTGGGTAATTAATGTGCATTTACAACAATATTAAAGTACAGAGTTTATTTGGAAAATCAGCTGAACAAAGTCTCCTGAGAACTTCATCTATGAGGCTTGTTATCTCAACCTGGATTAAATCAAGCTGTGTAAAATTTCTATAATGAGAAAGGTTAGGCAGAGGTGCTTAATCCTTATTGGTAAACATCTGAAGCTTGCTTCCAGGTGGTCTGGTACAAACTTTCTTCAATTATTGTCAGTCTGCCTATTAAAAGCTCATGTGTTTGAAAGACCTCCAGCTGCTGTTTTGACCCATATACCTGTGACTCTTGTTCTGGAGGAAGTGGTCTTGCCTTTATGTGATAATGGCAGTTGTCTCCCATTTCCTCCAGCCAAAGATGGTCAAAACAGTTTCAGGAAAAAAAAATCCTACTGAGGAAGCAAAGCATATTCTTCACTGCTTTTGATTAATTATTGAAGGACACTAAATGCCCACTGACTCAGCAATCAGCCTGCCTCTCAGAAATAGTTCAAGCCCAGGCTGCCTGTTAACTGGGAACTCTCGCAGCAGAAAACCTCTGTTCCTGACACCTTTTTCACCTTCAACCCATTCTGTCTCATTTGCTCTTTTTTTTCCTCAGTGTCTGTACAGAAGTTTAGAACAATAAAAAGTTTTCACTAAGCTGATTCTGTTGCTCCTATAGAAAAGCTGAAAACTAGTCCTGTTAAGTAAGCAGCAATCAAAAAGCTCGTGCTCAGTTTCTTTTGTTCACACACATGGGTAGTGGTGAGCTAATCTAACACTGACTAAATTAAACACAGGAGGGATCTCAGATCCTGGCTTACTAGATGGAAAGAGCTGGGAGAGAAGTATGAATCTAAAAGCACTGAGGAACAATTATAGCAACTCCACTGAACGAGCTGAAATTGTTTTCAGGGTGGAATAAAAAAAAAAAGGAGAAAGGGTTAAAGAGTGCCAGTAAGGAGAAATATGATGATATAATTTAGAAAGCTTTCTGCGGAAAGATTTTTGCAAGGAAGTAGGGTATTTCCATGGGCACAAGGAGACTGATTCAACTATGTGTGACTGGTTTTGGTCTGGTGTACGTTTAGAATTCTGATGAAATGCAACAGCAAAGCAGGCCTACTGACCCTAAATTTTATCTTCCATATGTAGTGCAGAAGTGTGCTGTTCAGGATCTGATACCACACATTGATTTCAGGATAGCCAAGCCAGATCCAATAAGCTATTCTTATCCTATCTCCAAAGTAAAAGTCTGTCAAACCACATGAAGAGCTGGCTCAGTGACACCTAATGATTGCTCACAGGCTCAGTAATGATAAAGCCAGGCTTCTGCTTTGAGTTCAATTAAGTAGTGGATAGTAAAGAATCCATAAAACAAATAGGAGCAATAAAGTCATCTTGTAGTTAAAACCAGCACTTAATCCTTGTTTACAGAGAGAGACAGGACATCTTACTTTTGTGGGCTGTTATACTTCATTTAATTTGGTGGGTCCTGAACCTGCTTCACCACAATTAATCACGTTTATAGGAATGAGGAAGATGAAGGAAGCATTATAGGATGAAAATCCACCTTTTCACATTGCAATCATTCTGGCAATATAAATGCTCAGCTCTTCTCAAATGTAAAAAAGAGGATGGTAGGTTGCACTGACAAGGAAATAACATTTATTCTTCTTTTTTAAGAATTGTTCTGAATTGTTAGGAAGCAGTCATGTACCGTTATTTATCTTCCTTTTAAATAAAATGTATACAAATTCCAGGCAGAGTCCAGCAATGGGAAATAGTATTTTTGTGCACAGTTCACTGCACAGTTCACCCTTGCCCCAAATCTCTCACCTTCTTGTTCCTTCCTGGAGACCCTATATTGTTTGCTGTCTGCTTATTTCCTTCTCTCCATGCTCGGTGGCTTCTGATCACAGAGAGGGGTATGTATCAGACAACATTTAACCCCCTAATCCATCTATACACTTCTGTTTCTGATTATCTCGCAAATGTTAGGCAAGTTGTATACAGTAGACCCTAAAGTTTCCCAGTCCTTTCTCTAACATCTAGCATAGCAAATATTTAAACTATCAAGCTCACTGATTTCACAGAGCTGTCACTCAGCCCCC